AATGATGTACTATATGCTGGCTAACTAAACGTAATAAAAAAATTAAAAAATAAAATAAAAAGTCACTGTCACACAGCACATCGAGTCTACTCCCCTGAACACTAGTTCTAGGTGCTTTAAGCTCCTTTGCTCACTTTAAGCAAAGTGCTGCATAATGAAGTCTGAAGATTATAGTGTTCAAGTTAAATTAGTTCCTTGATTACAGAACTTCACTGACTCTTTAATATACTTAAGTTCATTGAGAATCTGTAAGAGAGGTGAGATACAGGTTGTAGAATTTCCCAAACTTAGTTGACCTTTTCATGTGACACAATAATGAGATTAATATTTTAAAACACACTTGGGAAACACTGATCTAAGGCACTGCTACCATGCTATAGAGGCCGAAACAGAAGACCAAAGATGTACATGACTTGCCCAAGGTCATTTAGGTCGACTTAATTCTGGTTGGCTGGCTGTGAGTCCACCGTCTTCCCACTTTGCTCAATGCCTTTCTTACCTTTCCCCTTGTCTACTCCTTCCCTTTAAGGAAATAAAAACACAGACTTATTCTCTGTAAAAATGTAAAAGCACTCTTACTGACAATGTTTTTCTTTCAAGGTCAAGCAAAAGTTATGAAAAAAGGAGACTAAGACTATAAACTTCCAATCACAATGCGATGGAAGTTTCAACAATTAACAGCTCACATCATTGCTGTAGAAAAGACAGTCAGATGAACCTGGATTCAAATTTTCTGGTATTGTGCAGAAAAAAGATGAAGAAAATGATCACTTCTCCATAATATATCATCTTGATAGGGCTTAATAAAAACCAGTGCGTAAAAATATATGAATGAATTTAAAAATTATTAATACTGTTAACTTCTGACCATCTGTCTCAAGAAATCAAAGGCCAGGAGTTACTGTATTTAGTATGAGATCACAAGACTAACCACTGGTATAGTCATAAAAATCAGATGTCATTGGCATTTGACAAAATAAAAAAACAAAATTCTAGTGAATGATAAGTGCCAAGCAGTAGGAGAATTAAATATATATATATATATATATATATATATATATATATATAATTTTGGTAAAGAGAACAAATACCATGCATCTGAGCACACGAGGAAACATCAGAGAGGACTGACATTAAAGTCGTTTTATTTGAAACGCTAAGAGTCTTAGTGCAGAAGTGATAGGTAGAGTAATTTTTTCCTTATTATAGAATAAATGTAAAGGTCAGATGCAACAATATTGCCTGTGGTTTTAAAAGTGGGGGAATAACATTCTAAGGAATCAAAAGTTTTCTTAAAAGGGTAATCTATTTAGAGAAGATAAGTGGCTGTGTGGTAAAACTGACTTCAAGAGTGAGAGAAAATGTGTAAAACATCTTAAAGGCTGAGAAGTTAAAAAAAGTGGCAAGATGTAAGTTTTCAAACAAATGTAGAATTAATCTTTACCTTTCTGTCTCCAAGGGACAGAGCTGTGAATAAAGCAAGAAATGTATAGGGAAATGTGTTTTGGTATAATTTTAAGAAAAGCAAATCTAAGGATAGCTAGGATCTAATGGGTAGTTTCCAGGAGGCATTAAATTCTCCACCCTTCGTGTGTTCTTGCAGAGGTGAGGGACTACTTCACGTTGTTTTTCTGTGGATTCTGATGTACCAAATGAGTTGGAATAAGATAACATGTAAGAGAGATACTTTTCAATTCTGAGTTATAAGAAGTACTTAGGGGGGAAAAAAGGACCCAACATATATGGTATAAGGAAATTAACAGAGTTTCATTTTAGGCCAGTTTGCTTACAGAACTATGAATGAATAACATATGGGAGAAATTTTCCTAAGGAGTGAGAGGAGGGAGTGGTGCAAATTGCTTTAGAAAGGAGAATAGCTATTTGGAGAAAAATATACAGTGTGGTACAGCTGGTAAATCACGAAATCTAAATTATTTGTACTTCCTTTGGGGGAGGAGAGTGGAAGAGGAGAAAGATAAAGATGATGTGAATGTAGGGTAATAAAGAGAAAAGGAAGTGGAAAGGAATGACAGAAGGAGAGCATTAATAAATATTGTTGGGTTGAAGCAGGATAATTGGTCCTTCGGGGTGGCTTCCGTGATATATTTTTTTTTTATTCTTTTCTTCAGCATTATTTTTCTTTCAGAATATTATAAAATGAATCATTTACTTTCATTTCCAGATTTAGTTTGGCAGTTGCCTTGGAAGTACTAATTATGTTTTCCTTACATAAGAGAGGAGAGACCTATTATTGTTGAAGGTTCCTTTTTTTTTTTTTTAAACAGGCTTTAAAACTCAAAATAGTTAAAGATTATGTCTCAGCTATTTTTGAAATCATTACATGTACAATGAATATCAAGAAAATGGTAATGGAACAATAGCGTGGTGCCTGGATAATCCTTTGACAGAATTATTTAGACTTTGAGGGTTTTGTTTATTTAATTTTTTTAAAGAATTTTAAAATAAAGCTAGGAATTTAAACAGAACTTCAAGCAATCAACACACAACATCTAGCTTGATATTACAACAGCAGCAGCTAAAGAAATGGCAAAAGAGTAATCTACAACCAACCTTTACAGAACAATGAGTCAAAGGTCAAATGTGACAGCCATTAATTTAGAATGAAAATGTCCTCTTCAGCTTTTTCAAATTTCATGCAATGTAAAAGATGGATATCATGGTGTATTTTATTCCTAAGTCAACTAACAATAAAGTCTATATTCTTGAGAGACGTTGTTAGATCTTATACCTCAATAATACTTTTCTGGTTCAGAAGACACAAGATTATGAAAAACCAACTTTTACATCAAAGGCAAAATAAAAATTCAGAAAACACAAAAAACAGCCAACAACAACAAGAAAATGCAGAATGTCTCAAGAATGAAAATAGTAGTTCTCTTGCATAGTATAGGGTCTACTGCTAATAAAAGCATACTGCATACTTAAAATTTACCAAAAGGGTAGATCTTATGTTAAGTGTTCTCACCACACACAAGCACAAAATAATAAAAACAATAACAATAGGGGTGAGAAGAAACTTTGGAAAATGATGAATATATTTATAGCCTTAATAATGGTGATGGTTTCTTGGGTATATATTTAATACCCAAACCCATGGAGCTCTATGTATTAAATATGTAAAGCTGCTTATATGTCAACTATACTACAGTAAAATGGTAGAAAGAAAGAAAGAGAAAAACTTCAGGTGGTAAAGAAGCCCACACTCTTCATTGCTACTTTGACCGAAGTCATAAATGTCACATTTTTTGCCCATCCAGTATGATCATAAATTTTCTCCTGACAGAGTTACTTCCTGAGTAGTGGTTATTGCCTTGGACATCATAGGTGTTCATTAGATTACTTTCTAAATAAAGGAATGAATGAATGAATGGTAACTAAAAAAATGAAGTAAAGAATCGACTGGCAAATTCTAGACACAAATGCAAGATCATGCTTGGTGCTTATAAGCCTCAGTTCCTGGATTTGAAATCCAGTTCTGTCTACTGTTAACTATATCACTGTGGCCAAGTTAATAAACCTCTCTATACCTCAGTTCCTCTTTGCTTATATAAAACAGCTTGTTGTGAGAAATAAATTCATTACAAAAAAGCACTTTTAAAAATACATGGAATGTAGCAAATGCCGAATAAATATTAGTTATCAAGATTATTATAAAGGTTTATTTAGGTAATTCAATACCAAGATCATTGACAACTATGAAACTAGATGAATGGGACCAAGGACAAGCTGTCTAAAGCCCAGGGAAGTGGGCACAATGCACTGAGGTTCAACCTCTGAAGCTTGCACATGTCACAGAAATTACTATTCTGTTGAGAATATAAATTGACCTTTTCCAAACACTTCTCACTTGTGCTACAGATAATGCCTCCTTGCAGAGATTAGAGGTCATGTTCTACAAGGGCAGACATAATATACTTCTCTTGAGAGCTCTCTTTTATTAATTTTCATTATTTATTATCCTGTAGGTTTGATATAAAATAGTAAATAGAGATGAAGTAGTTTTATTAAGTGCAATTCCAAATTTGTACAGCTTATGTCATGCCTTAATTTTGCTCTAGTTTATCCTAGAACTCCATGGCTTAGGAAGGGCAGCCATGTGTTGGTGCTAGTCATTGCTCAGGGTCCTGAAGCATGTAGGCAGCTGGTAAATAAAATAGCCTTAACCCTATCTGATGGCGGTGGGGGGAAGGATCCATTTACACATGTGACAGAACTTAGATTATGAATTCTGGTAAATCAGGGACTGTTTATACTGTCTTCACTGGTTGAACAAGGGACCACAGGGAGACACAGAAATGTACGTATCAAAAAACCAGAGAACCCTTTGTTATGCAAAGCCCACCTTACTAACAGCAGGCAAGTAACACTCTCTTGGGTTAATAGGTTACCTTGGAAAAATAACAATCTGTGTCTTGTTCTATCTGTGAAAACTAGTGAAAATTCAGATTTGTTTTTAAGATGTCAACAAACAGATACGATTGTACACGAACTTCCGAAATCTCCTACCACAAAATCTGCTCCTCCTTTTTTTCCATTTCTGCCCGTGATCCCTGTTAGGAATTTAATGGCTGAAGTTCCACCACCTGACTATACTTGCAGAAAGATTCTTTAGGCGGTAATTAAAGTTATTAATTTAATGAGTTAAGGGTGAAGCCCTAATCCAATGGGACCGACCGGTGGCCTCAATAAGAAGAGAGAGACCTCTTTCTCGCAGCCCAAGCACAGGTGGAAGGCCATGTGAGGACACAACAATAATATGGTTGACTGCAAGCCAGGAAGAGAGATCTCACCAGGAACTGAATGAGAAAGAACCTTGACCTTGAACTTCCCAGCTTCCAGAACTCCGAGAAAATAAATTTTTGTTGTGTAAGCCATCTATTCTATGGTATTTTGTTATGACAGCCTGAACTGAGACAGTCATACCCTGGAAAACAAGAGCTTTATAAATACACACATAGTTTTGCATGAGTCACACTTACCATTAGCAGTCTGTCTCCTACTTGCAACCTTCCATCTTTTTGTGCAGCTCCTCCATCTATAATTTTAGTTACATAAATGCTGTTGTCTCCAGGAATGTGCTGGTTCCCCACACCTCCTGCAATACTGAAGCCTAAACCTATGGGAAACAAAAAGAAAAGCTTTGTTGTTGTTGTTTTTTAAGAAAATGCAATTAGCCATATTTAAGCAGTCTAAAAAAAATTAATCCTCAGTTTATTACAACAGTAATAATTAAAAGTAATGATTCTACTTCAGTCGATTTTGTTAACTATTTGAAGGTTTGTTGATTAATGCTAATGAGGCAAAGCTCTTGAAGTCAAGCCCATGTGGCCATTAGTTTTGTTATATTTCAAGACTGTCCACCTAACTGTTGTTGCTCCCTACTAATTAGCAGATAATGGGTGATTGGCCAAATGGGGATCTGGCAAAAGGATGCGGAAGAATCCTCAGTGAGGCAGGCAAAGCACAAGTTCAGCCCTGCTCATGTGGAATTGATGAGCTTGTCTTTGTTGTTATTCTCCTAGCACAGAGAAGAATTGCAAATCATTTGGGTAGAGACCTAGATACTCTTGACATTTCTGGATTAAAAGTACAGCTGTTAGAAAATTCCACAAATTCTCAGACAAGAGCCACAAGGAAGATACATGAGATATTTATGTAATAATTTCAGAGAAGGCAAAAAGAAACTAGATGCTTGTCCTTGTTTTTTTCTCTGGCCACCTTGTCATATTTTCATATTCACACATATTAAGTGCTAGTGAGGTAGTAACACATGAGAAATGAATCGTCCCTGTACACAGTCTAAAGACACAAGAAATAGTATTTTACCTTTTATAACAAATCACAGAATGTCAAATTTTAAACATGGAAATTTTCTATTTTGAGAGACAAATTTATACTGTACTATAGCTTACAAAACTTTGTTTATATTAAACTATGGAAGGATAAGAAGTTATTAAAAATCATTATGGGGGCACTTTCAAAGAATGAGTGATAGACTCTTTTGCGTGAAAAAATAAAAAGGTCATTTTCAGGATATGATTGAATACACATTTGATATAATACCTGTAGCCTATATATTCATTGAACTTCAAAACTATAATTATTATCATACAAATTATTCAGAAAGATAAATATAAATCAAAGAATTTGTACTAAAGGCATAGGAAATTTCTATGACTTACTTAGCTGAAGAAAATTTTTTTTAAAACAAACCATCCACTATGTTATCTTGTATTTTTGGAAAAAAAAAAAAGTACCTGTTTTGTGATAAAACAATCACAAAAATTTTTGGCACTTTATATGACAATAATGAAAAACACTTAAAAAAGCTCCATTTCATATGCTTTTATTGATTAAATATTGAATGGGGCTTTTAATGGCATAAGTGATTAGATAATGGAAAAATAATGGCATAGTAAATTATAAAGTTACACCTCTGAAATTACATTTGAAATTAAATAATTTTTCTGTTAAATTAACTATAATAGTTGTTAAAAATGCAAAATGGATTTAAATTGCTAGGGCAATTAAAATAATTGTTATCTAATATTCCACTAAAGTGGGTAATTATTCTTTATTGATGTTTTGACATCCCATAGATCTATAAATGTATCTATCTGCCTCAAATTTAAAGAATTTGTTTATCGAGCAAAAGATGACCAAGAGTAAATAAAATGCTCCCAATTGGCTTTTCCTATGAAATTTATGATGCATATCAGCTCATGCTTTTCAAAACTGTTATTTTACATTTATATATGATTATAGGGGAATTAAAAAAATACATTTACAAAAGTTTCATACCCACATGCTAGGATCAATCTACTGCATTTATAATAGTATAGAAGTCATTCCAAACTGTGGAAAGAAAAGGTTAAAACAAATCCAGGGACTCTGATTTACATCCACTATAATAATAGTAAATGCCACAGACTGACTGAGTTACAGAAGAGCTAAGGAAACAAATTACCACTGTAAATAAGGTTAAGTCCAAAAAAGGGAATAACTATGTAGTTGACATTTGAAGTTGAAGACTGTACCAAGACAATGAAATCACTATACTATACACATAAATATATTAGCTATAAAGGAAATAATTTTTTCCCCGGAGATTAGGTTAAAAACTAGTGACTCTGCTCAAGGTGAAACAAGCTATTTTTAGTAAGAACCTTCTGAGGGTACAGAATTGAAAATTGTCCCTGATTTCTCTTTGATGGAACATGGATACATTGAAAAGTAATCAGCATTTAATCAACACTCAGCCATAATTTAACATAAGTAAATATGTAGCTTATCTCTACAGCTAGAACACAAATTTACTTATAGGTGGGAGCATCCATCTGTGTTGTAAGACTAAATCTGTTCTCATTCATTCATTCATTCACTCATGTATCCATCCATTCAACAAATATCTCTTGAGTACCTATTACGAATCATATAACCAGTTGTTGTCAACTGTGGTCAATATAATGTAAAAGAATTGACCAAAACACTACAGAAATACAAGTGAGTGTGATTGAACCTGGCTGAGGCAATGTTCTAAGCCCAGACAGTGCCATTGATTTTGGGAAGACTACTCAATGAAGACAAATGTGGGCTAGAACTACTGGGCAATCCAAAATGATCAGTTTGGAGGCACTACGTATTCTCCGGATATATTTTGTTAAAGCAGGGGTGGGCTGCATACATTCTAGGACCACTCTATTCCCTTATTATGTAATATTCCCCCTCTTCATTCCATTTGAGACACAGCTGCAGTCTTGGTACTTCTAGAACACAGTGGACATACTCCCACCTTAGGGCATTTAATCTAGCTGTTTCCTCTATCTGGAATTTCCATCCTTCAGGGTTTTGTTCAAATCTTAATTTCTCTAGGAGCCTGAATCTGACTTCCTTTCAAACACTGTCTCCTAACCATACATCCCATTTCCTTATCCCAAGCTACTTTTCATTTTACCTTAGCACTTATTTCCTGTTAACATATAAGTCACCCATGTATTTTATTTTTTTATTGTCTCTTTGATGAAAATATGAAGTCCATGATATCAGGGATTTGTGTCATTTTCTGCTGTGCAACAGAACAAGGCCAGTCATATAATGACCTCCTAATTATTCAAGGGATGAATGAACAATGAATGAACAAATGAATTTAAGAGGATGGAGAAAGTCACAGATCTCTGAGAAAACTTCTCCTTAAAGAGGAAGCTTGAGGTTTAATGAATGAGGGGCTGCTGAAAAAGTGAGCACTGTTAGTTGGAGTGACTAACTGGATGAGGCATTACTGGCCTTGGGTCAACTCTGATCTCTGTCCTCAGTCTGCGCAGAGATTATGCCAACCACTGGGCAGCAACGGGGCTAAAGCAGAGTCAGCTTCACGCCCTGGTTCCTCCATCTACTGACTCTGTCATTTGGAGCCACAATTGTCTCATCTGTGATAAGGGAGTAAGTATATCCATGTTCTATAGTAATTGGCACATACCAGATGCTTGATAAGTAAGAATTCTCTGCTGTCAGTAAGCTCTCAAGTTATCTTGAGAAACCAATACCTAAACATCTTGACATGATTTAACCCGCTAGAATGAGTCCTATAATGTTATGTTAGCCTAGAGGGGAGCATGACTTCCTCTGAGGAGAAGAATCAACAGAAGGTTTAGCACTAGGGCTGAGTCTTGAAGGTTAAGCTAGAATTGATAACAGGGAAAGCACCTTTCAAACCAACACATCCTCCGGATTCCCGGTGACTAAAAGACTGAAGAGTCAGCTGCCCTGACTTACATTACACGATGCTCATAAAATCCCAGCTTCACCAGGCTGGAAATTCGGACAGAAATGCTTGGCAAACACTCAAAACATGTACTTATGATAAACCAGAATGGTCCTCAATGGGATAAATACGATGAGTATTACGATTTAAAGGTAAGAAGCCTTACAAATAACAAAAACACTGCTTTTATGGAAGTGACCAATTTAGAGAACTGATCACCATTTTGAAAAGAAGTGTTTATGAATAAGAAATGGCCTGGCGAGCTCTCCGCCCCCTCCTCCCAAACTCAGCTCAGCAGGGAGTCTGCTTATCTTTCTCTCTCTGCCTGTCCCCCCTTGCCTGGCCTGCTCTCTTGCTTTCTCTCAAATAAATAATCTTAAAAAGAAAAGAAAGGGGCGCCTGGGTGGCTCAGTGGGTTAAAGCCTCTGCCTTCAGCTCAGGTCATGATCCCAGGGTCCTGGAATCGAGCCCTGCATCGGGCTCTCTGCTCGGCAGGGAGCCTGCTTCCCCTTCTCCCTGCCTGCCTCTCTGCCTACTTGTGATCTCTCTCTCTGTCAAATAAATAAATAAAATCTTAAAAAAAAAAAAAAAAAAGAAAAGAAAAGAAAAAAGAGAAGAGAAGAGAAGAGAGGCCCTGGGGGTGGAGGTGGGAGGAAGAAATGGCTCTGGACCATAAGGTGATGGCAGACTAATCAATTATAAAACACAGTGAAAAGAGTTGGTGGGTCTCAGCAAAAACACTGACCCTAATATGACCTACTGTAGAATGTTGACTATTAAGAATAGTCCTAAACATGTCTATGCAGTACCAGTAAGAAACAAAGCTGACACAGAAAAATATAAATACTAAAATTGCAAAGGGAAGTAAAATCAGTGGCTGTTTCGGTATCCTAGTAAGAAAAACAAAACACAAAACAAAACAAAAAACAGGTGAAAATTAAACACCTAATTCCTGAAGCAATTAAAAACTGATGTGTTTGACAAACATGTGACGAGCAAACAATTTCAGGATTAGATCTATTGCACAAAGCTGGGTTCCTCTTTCTGTATTTCTTGCATATCCCCAAACTGAAATTTCTCAGGTAAACACAGAACATGCAGGCATAAGGAAAGGAATGTCTGAACCTTGTTAAAACCTTTAAGCTTTTTCCACACAAAACCTTTTCTTCATCCTATAAAATAGAACAGGAGAAGGAACAGATCACAGTTCACCCTTTCCCCTTGTTGCCTGCCTATGGTGAGGAGAAGGTGTTACTGAGAGATGAGGAAATAAAAGCAAAAAATCTTGGCAGCATAGACTGATACTGTGCTTGAGAAGCTCGGAATAAAAACTCAAATGCTTAAGAGTCGTATGA